CTATTTTCCAGGAAATGATGGGATCAATGCCCAAGATTTTATAGGGTGTTTTTATGTTAAGCTTCAGGCTAGCTTTTGCACTCTCCTCTTTCACCTTCATCAATTCTTCTTCATTTTCTGCCATTAGAGTGGCATCATCAGCATATCTGAGATTGTTGATATTTCTCCTGTCAACCTTAATTTTGGCTTTTGATTTGTCCAGCCTGGCATTTCACATGATGTATTCTGCATAAAAGTTAAATAAATAATGTGACAATATGCAGCCTTGCTCTACCCCTTTTCCAATCTTAAATCAATCAGTTGTTCCATGTTTGCTTCTAACTGTTGCTTCTTGACCCACATACAGGTTCCTGAGGAGACAAGGAAGATGATCTGGTACTCCCTTCTCTTTGAAAACTTGCCACATTTTGTTGTGATCCACACAGTTAAAGGCTTTAGTGTAGTCTGTGAAGCAGAGTAGATGTTTTTCTGAAACTCCCTTACTTTCTCCATAATCCAGCAAATGTTGGCAATTTGGTCTCTAGTTCCTTTGCCTCTTAAAAAACCAGCCAGTTCTTCTGGTAATTCTTGGTTTGTACATTGCTGAAGCCTAGCTTTCAGAATCTTAAGTATAACCTTGCTGGCATGTGAAATGATCATAATTGTTTGGTAATTTGAACATTCCTTAGCATTGCCCTTCTTTAGGATTGGGATATAAACTGATCTTTTCCAATTCAGTGGCCACTGTTGAATTTTCCAAATTTGCTGGCATATTGAGTGCATCACTTTAATAACATCATCTTTTAGGGTTTAAAGCAGCTCAGCTGGAATTCTGTCACCTCCACTAGCCTTATTGTTAGCAATGCTTCCTAAGGCCCACTTGATTTCATTCTCCAGGATGTCTGGCTCTAGGTCAGTAACTACACCATAGTGATTATCATTTATGTTAAGATTTTTCTTATATAGTTCTTCTGTATATTCTTGCCACCTCTTCCTAATCTCTTCTACTTCTGTTGAGTCCCTACCATTTTTGTCTCTTATCATGCCCATTTTTGCATGAAATGTTCCTTTGATATCTTTCATTTTCTTGAAGAGATCTTGTCTTTCCCATTTCTATTGTTTTCTTCTATTTTTTTGCATTACTCAATTAAGAAAACCTTATCTCTCCTTGCTAGTCTCTGGAATTCTCCATTCAGTTAGGTACATCTTTCCCTTTCTCCTTTACTTTTTGCTATCCTTCTTTCCTTAGCTATTTGTAAAGCCTCATTGGAAAGCCACTTTGACTTCTTGCTCTTCTTTTTTTTGGAATGTTTTTTGTTGCTGCCTCCTGTACAATATTGTGAACTTCTGTCCATAGTTCTTTAAGCCCTCTATCTACCACATCTAATGACTTAAATCTATTCATCACTTATATTCATAAAGGATGTTATTTAGGTCATGCCTATATGGTCTGATGGTTTTCCTTACTTCAATTTAAATCTGAATTTTTAAATAAGAAGCTCATGGTCTGAGCCATAGCTCCAGATCTTGTTTTAACTGACTGAATAGATCTTCCCCACCTTTGACTGTAAAGTATATAATTAATCTGATTTCAATATTGGCCATCTGATGATGTCCATGTGCCTTTTGGGTTATTGAAAAAGAGCATCTGCTATTATCTTCACAAAACCCTCCTAGTCCCTGCCCTGCTTAATTTTGTACTCCAAGGCCAAACTCGTCTGTTATTTCAATTATCTTTTGATTTTCTACTTTAGCATTCTAATCCACTATGGTGAATATGACATCTTTCTTTTAGTGTTATTTCTAGAAGATGTTGTAAGTCTTCACAGAACTGATTAACTTTGGCCTCTTTGGCATCAGTGGTTGGAGCATAGACTTGTATTATTCTGATATTGAATGGTTTGCCTTAGATTCAGATATAATTCTGTCATTTTTGAGATTATGCCTCAGTATTGCTTTCTCACTCTTTTATTGACTATGAGGGCTACTCCATTTCTTCTAAGAGATTCTTGCTCACAGTAATATATGTAGTGATTGTCTGAATTAAATTCACCTATCCCCATCCATCGAAGTTCACTGATACCTAAGATGTTGAGGTTTAATCTTTCCACCTCCTGTTTGACCACATCCAGCTTACCTTGGTTCATAGATCGTACATTCCAGGTTTCTATGCACTATTGACCTTTACAGCATTGGGCTTTCCTTTCACCACCAGACACATCCGCAGCTGAGCTTCTTTTCAGCTTTGGCCCAGCCCCTTCACTGGTACTGAAGCTACCTGTACTTGTCCTCCACTCTTCCCCAGTAGTGTGTCAGATGCCTTCCAACCTGAGGGGCTCATCTTCTGATGCCATATCTATTATCATTTTAATACTATCCATGGGGTTTTCTTGGCAAAGACACTGGAGGGGTCTGCCATTTTCTTTTCCAGTGGATCCCCTTTGTCAGAAGTCCCTACTATGAGCTGTCCATCTTGGATAACCCAGCATGGCATAGCTCATGGTTTCGTTGAACTACTCAAGCTCTTCCACCACAGCAAATCAGTGGTCCAGGAGTGGGGCTCCCAAGATATCCTCTGACTTTGGAGACTCAGGAAGCTGCTCTTTCAAAGTTCTACTTTCTTATTCTCCTTCCACATTCTCCCCTCCTTCCAGCCCCCATTGTCTTTCACTTTGTTCCCCAGCCTGGACCTTATGGCCAGTTCCATTAGTGACATTCCACTGTACCTGCCTTGCCAGTTCCCAATTCTGAGGAACATCTTCTGGTTGTGTTTTTTCTACTCCTAAGCTGCTCAAAAGTTGCAAGACAGTTGCTTGGGTTCACTAGATTCATGTTCTCTAGTAGTAGCTAGACTGTCCTTTTATTTATCTTTGGTCAAATTTTTGTCTCATCCCCTATGATAGTTGCCCTCACCTTTTTCCTTTCTTCAGCTTCCAAACTTGATTCCTTTCCAGCCAACCTGGACTCTTAATTTTTTAGTATGGAGGCTGACTTGAGTTCTCTATAATTCCATCTTCCCTCACTCTCCCAAATCTCTCTGTATCATCATGCATCTTCTCCTCTTTCTCCTGAGCCCCCATGGATAAGAGGAACTTCATCTTTGCCAAGATAAAGTCCTCTACCACCTTCTTTGGCTGTTGCTTCCACCTTCTGTTTCCTTCAGAGGCAGCTTAGGTGGGTGCAGTGGATCATACAATGAACCTGGAGTCAGGAAGACCTGAGTTCAAATCCTGCCTCTGGCCTTGTACTAGTTGTGTGACCCATGGCAAGTCATAACTCTTGCCTTAGTTTCCACATCCGTAAAATGAAGATAATAACAGCACCTACCTCCGAGGTTTATTGTGAGGATAAAATGAGATATCTGTGCTACATAAATTCTAGTTAGTATTATTCAAAGTCTTGCTCTGCCAATTGTCATCTTTCTCTCTGATATTTTTCAGCCTCTCCTTCTTTACTGTCTCCTTCTTCTCCATCCACACCACGCTCAACTCTCCCCAATCCTAAAAAACAAATAACCCAATCCGATCTTTTCCTCTATTCTGCCACTTCTGTGAGCTAACCCTTCTAACTTCTCTTCCCTTTCACCACCAGACCTCTCAAGAGTCATCTCTACTTCCTTCACCACCTGCTTGTTAATCCTGGCTTCTATCCTTACTGCCCTTGCCACACCATTCTCCCCAAGATGCCCAAAAGCTTCTTCATTGCCAAACCAGTTCTCATTCTCTGTAGCAACTAACACTGTTGTCCCCCTCACCCTGCCACCCCCAGCCCACTCACCCACTCCCGCCACTCCTTACACTTCTTTCCTGCCTGGGATTCTATTATTCTGTCCTGTCCTGGGCTCCTCCAACCTCTCTGAGCTACCTTTGACTTCTAAGTCACAGCTCTGATTAGACCTATCTTGCTCAGCACCGTTTAGCAGCTCCTCAAGGTTCACAAAATAAAGCCTAAACTCAAGGTGTGACACCATCTAGTCCAGTCTATATTTCTATGTATATGTCAGGCATATCTGAAAGAGTGTTGAGCTAGGAGTCAAGGCCTCTAGGTCTGAATCCAGGCTTGGATGCTTACTAGCTGTGTGACCATGGGCAAGTCACTACACCTCTGTCTTCCTCAGTTTCCTCATCTGTAAAGTGAGGATTATCATCTTTGCACTACCTACCTCATGACATTATTTATTGTGAAAAAAAGTGCTCTGTAAATTTTCAGACACCAGATCAATGGGATTTCTTACTCCATCCAGGAAGGATATTCCCCAAACATACTTTGTACCTGTTAAGATTCAAGTCATCCATCAAGAACTCATCCCAGTGCCTCCTTCAAGCTTATCTGACCATACGAGCTGGATCCTCTGGCTCTTTGTTCAGACTCCTATAGCATGGCCTTTGTGGCTTTCCTAGGGCACTTACCACTCACTGCTTTGCATTAGCAGTATATGGACACTTGCTTTATTCTCCAATTAGACTGTGAGCTCCTGGATAGCAAGAGTCCCCTCTTACCCATCTCTGTGTTATGTCTTCAGCACAGGAGGTGTACAGTAAATATGTGGTGAGTGAAGATGAAAAGTATAAGCAGTGTGATCTTTTAAAGAAATACTGCCCTCCTCTGACAAGCATACTCAGGCCTTCCAGAACCTGGAACACCTTTTTCTTAACCATACTGTGCCCCTGAGCTGTCCCAAAAGTCACTTAACCTTTATCTGTCTATAAACTGGGGATAATAATGGCACCTGCCTTAAAAGGTTGTTTTGAGGGTCAAATAAGCTTAGCAGAATGCTTGGTACATAGAAGGCATTATATAAATGTTAGCTGTTATTATTATTGTCCTAACATACTTAAAAGCATTTCTCATAGGTTAAGGATTATCCACTACAATCTTGTTTTTACTTAAGCCTTTATCTTCCAGTCAGCTAACACGTTTCTTCCTGTAGCTAACCTCTGCGCATTAGTGCTTGGGATGTGCTTTCTCATAAGCAGTGGGGATATATTGATTGCACTAAGTTATCTATACTCTCTTTCCAGGCTGTTGGCTAATCACTTTGGGCATATGGACATACATACCTTTGCCAGATGGATGGATGCCCGGGGTTATGGGTTATGGGTGCAGTGTATGGCCATGGAAGAGGATGAGGCAAACAGGTGCCACCCAGCTGGACATGCACAAGCAGCTCTGGGATCCAAACAGGTGAGTTACCCAGCTAACTCTGGCTTCAGACCAAGTCTTGCATAAATGATCACAACCATCTACCTCAGTGGGCTCAAGGGGAAAATCTTCACTGAAGTGACTGGACTTAATCATATGGCACTCCAAAGACGACAGACATTTTCTCTAAAGGCAGGGATCCCAGAGTGTTGGCTCAGTAGATTTTCCCTCCAAGGAGAGTATGAAAGAGTCCAGCAAAGGTCTTGCTATGTATCCTGCAGAGTCAGGGGCAGTACATGGGTCTCTGGGGTCCAACTGCTTGTCCCTAACTTCTTCATTATCTCCACTATTGCTTAGAAGATGTTCCTGGAGAGGTCCCTAAAGACACTTGATTGAATGCTCTCTTTTCTAGGAGTTTGGGGTGTTTGGGGCCCTGATATAAGTCTTCCTGTCTCTCTTCCTTCTCCTGTCCAACCCATTTATCCACAGCTATCCTCCTGGGGAAGCTGTTTTTCAGGTAGTCAATGGAATCTTTGGGTAGAGACACTCTGTCCTGCCAGAACATGGACTAGGATCTATTCTTCTATTCGGTCTGGCATGGGAAGAGCAACACCTATGAGCCCTTTATGTGGGCCCAGTCAGGACGGCCTTTCTCGGCCCATTAGGTCTCCGAGGAGCCATTAAACATCTCCCCACAAGCTCTTCTGCCTTTCAGAGGACCAAGGCCCTGGCTCAGCATTGATGCCTCCCATCTCTTTCACCCTCTCTTTTACCTTTGGCAATTTTAATGTCTAGGGCTGTCCGGATCAGTGCCATGAGAGTAGAGTTGAAATGAACCGTGTTGTCATCTGCAACAGGCAAATCCATCCTCAGAAGTCTCTGCAGAGAGTTGACATGGAGCCTGTCAGCCCAGTGCCCCTCTCATGGTGCCCCATGTTCTCAGCCCCCTCCAGAATGCATTTCAAAAACCAAAGAGCAGCAGGAAGAACTCTGCGGTTGGCCAGGTGTCTGGAGGTTACCCACAGTCCCCATTTCTTTGGGTGAAGGGAGACCCAGGCAGTGGCCAGCTCCTGGGCTCCTATCTTCTGTCTAAGAGGAGAGATCTCTCCTTTGTGGTGGTCTGCTTGAGCCTTAATGCCTTCTGCATCCTCTGCATGAGGTAGGGAATGCCTTCTGTCTGTAATCATCCTCATGAATCCAGCACCTGTGCCCTGCAATCCTTGGACCCACCCTACACCATTACCCTCAGATCTTCCTATGCCCTGGCCCAACAGAGTTCTCCCTGGATGGCTCTATTCAGATCAAACTCCAAAGAAAAAGAGAACATGTCTGGAAGCTTCACAGACCCATTTCTGGGGAGTACATGCAGGCAGCATAGGCAGAGGCAGAAGCACAGAGCACATGGGCCAAGGGATGGGTAGGAATACCCTCCAGCTTGGGCCAGACTGTGTAAGATCAGACCAGACCATCACACGCTACATTCACCCTGAGAAGATGCTCAGTGCGCATGCGGGTGGGCAGGCAAGTGGTTGGTTATACAGGCCACTGGCCCTAGGGAGGAGGGAGGTGGAGCCATGCAGGACATGCAACGTGGAACACCAAGCACCACATAGCAGCCACGGACAAGGCGTCACAGACAGGAAAGCATCCACATGGAATCTCGAGACTCATTCATAGCTCCCATAGAGATCAGTATTCAGTGACAGGTCCAGATTTCGGCTCAGTGCAATGGTGGGGGGGTGGGAGTAGGGGTGGGGTCTGCTCCCTAGGTCCCAGGTAAGGGCAGTATTCCAAGGTGCTAGGTGGTGTGGGCAGGAAGGATGGCCAGGTCAGGCTGTAAGTGGCATGGAGATGGTGTTGGGGTGTGAGGCCCACTGGGGATTGAGACATCGAGCCCACTGTCCTTAGTGGAGCAGTTAGCAAGAAACAGGAAGATGAGGAATTAGGGATGGGAAATCCAGAGACATGAACCCAGCCAGGAAGGAGAGGGAGAGTCACAGAGACTATGAGGAAGAGAGAGACAGACAAAGAGAAGAATGCAAGAGTGGGAGGCTTAAAGAGTAGGAGGGAGAGATGCAGAGGTAGAGGCAAAGATAGACATGCATGTGTTCACGGACCAGGAGAAGTAGAGAAAGACCAAGAGAGGGGAGTGAGATGAGACACAAAGGGAATGATGTAAAGTGGCAAACATCTCCAACGCGCAAAGGCAGATGGCATTGGCTGCCATGCAGCGGCGTGGGAGCGACATGGAAGAAGACAAAGTCAGGGTGAAACAGGACCCAGAGAGAAGGAAGTATGAATGAGGAGGGCAAGGGAGAGAAGCTATGAGACAGGCTAGAACTGCATTGACAGAGAAAGGGGTGGAAGGGACACTGTGAAGGGGAGGGAAGGGAAGAAACCGAGGTTAGGATTATCAGGGTTGTTTGTCAGGGGGGCGATTGTCTTTCTTTTTTCTAAAGTTCCAGAATCTTAGATAGTTACTGTGGCTCATCTGAAAAATCTGTCCTTGGAGAGATGGGAATCCCAGGGTCATGCAGGGCCCAGAGAGGAGGTTTGCTTGAAGTTTGCAGGGTGGGGAGGTTAGGGGGATGGGCTTTAGTTCAGAAACCCAGCTGAAACTTCAGAAAGGTCCTACCTCAATGGCTGCCTGGAACTTCCCCCGAGCCCCTGCTGCAGGCTCTCTCTGGCTGGGGGAACTCTTTTCTCCCTTCAGCATGCACAGGGCCACTTCATGCACATATCCTTTACCCCTGCCCCACCCTGGGCCCTTCCTGGGAGATGCAGCATGCATATCCACAGTGTCAGGGAGCCAGCCTGTCCTGGGACCCCAGCTTCAGCTTGCTCATCTACTCTGGAACAACAAAGAAGCACATTCCAATGTTGGGGGCCGGGCATCCAGGGGGCTCTGTAAAGCCATCCCTGGGCATCGGGGTGGATGTGTGTGTGGGGATAGGAGAGTGGGAAAGAGGGCTCAGATGATGATGGGAAATCTCCCTTCTTCCCTTAGCTAAGCATGGCTCCAGAGGACTGGAGACCTTCTTGGGGACCTTTCTGGGGTGAGCCAAGATAGTCCTGTCCTGTTCAATATTTCCATTTTGCCACAGGTTTTCTATGCCCTTCCCCACTTCCCAGGCCAGGGCTGAGGGCTGTGCAGCATGTACCGTATGTATGTATGTATGTATGTGTGTGTGTGTGTGTGTGTGTGTGTGTGTGTGTACATGTGTGAAATGGTGGGGTGGTGATACTTGCTTTTGGAAGTTGAGTTTGCTTCAGGACAGTGATTGAGGGTCTGAGGGACTTGGGCTGATTCTCTAGGGGCCCCTCCCACCCCATGCTACTGGCCATAATGGAGTCTCTGAAACGCAACACACTAACCAAAGAGGATGGACACAACTGTATTGGTTAAAGAAGATCATGACGATGATAATTATTTTGCTCGAGGAAAAAAAAAAAAGGAAGTATCAATAGAAAAAGAGATCTGGTAGGTTGTCTTTGTCAGCATTTAAAAAAAGAAAAGTGACCTTTTTTTCCTCTGGTGGGTGTCAGATTTAGTCTACCTTATAAGCAACTCGGGCTGGACACTTCTTCCCCAAACCCAGGGGCGGAGACATGTGTCTGAGCATCTCATACATGTCCGGGTAAGCCATGCGGCCCCTGGCAGCACCAAAACAACAAAACCAGAACCGAAAACAAAAACCAAAACCAAAAAAGGAAAACCAAAAAACCGAGAGAGGAAAAAAAACACAGAGAGAAGAACCACACGAGCCAAAAAAATCAGGAAAAAATAGAGAGAGAGATGCAGAGAACAAGAAAATATATTTTTTAAACAAATTGAAAAGGGGAAAAAATGGAAGAAAAGTAATAAAAAAAAGATTACTTTACTGCTCATTGGCAGAGAGAAAGAGCAAAGTCATGTTCGCTTCTCACTGGTTTATTAGCAGATCGGCAGGGAGGGCCTTGAAACTCTCTACCAGAAACCTGGAAACCTTTTTTTTTTCTTTAAACTTGGACAAAGTCCCATAGCTTAGAAGGGGATATCTTACTGGGAGAGGGAGGGACCTGGGAAAGAGGGCAGGGCACATCAGGAGTTGAGGAGAAAGGGAGTGGAGTCAATGGTGGAGTCGTCAATGCAGTTTTACTCCTCCCCAAATGGAAATCCATATTAATGTGACTTTGGTTTGGGGAGGGGGCAGTTGAGACCCTGGAATGCCCAGCTTCAGCTAACAGCAAGCAGAGATGGTGGAGGGTAACTTGAGATATATGCTCCATGCTTTTTGAGTCTAAGTGACTGCATTATCTTAGGCATTCTGTTTGCTAAGAGGTCACTAATTAAATGCAAGAGATATCAAAAGATGTATATATATATATATATGAAATATATATATTAAGAACCAAAAGCCACATTCATTCCGTTGATGCTAGCAGGTTTTAGTGGAAATCAAACCTTGCAAGCAACCCTATGAGGACATTTCTTGCCTAAGCCGAGAGGGGGAGATATAACACGCAATAAACTGTACATATCCTTATAATGAATCCGACCGCTGTAAGAAGAATACATGGGTGTTAGTGCAAATTCTAAGGGTCAAATACAACATATACATGTATACAGACACACAGGCATCACACAGAGACGTCTTGGGATCACAGCCACAGAGATATTCTGGAAATTCCCAGCGCTGGCTCCAGACATTTGTACCAGAGTAAAAGTACTAGAGTAAAACTGGAGAAATGTCAGCACACACAAGAGAGTGGGGAATGAAGGGCAATGAGAATACAGTCTTTCTCGCCCTTAATTTTTACATTTCTGGTTAAGCAAGCGCACTGATGAACCAACCCAAGGGGACAGTCATCTGCTTGGAGACAAACTCTGTGCCAGAGCCAAAGCTAGTTCTGAGACCCTGGCCCACAGGGGAAAGTAGACAGAGTGGGGCTGTGGAAAGAGCCCTGGGTTCACATCCTGCCTTTGTTACTTGTTAGCTGAGGGACCTTGAGGTGGTCCCCTTCTCTCTCTCTGGGCCTCAGCCTCGTCATCTGTAAAACCTTGAGGGGGTTGGACTAAGTGCTCTCTTAAGTCTCTAGATCAAAGATCTACACACGCACACACACACACACACACACACACACACACACACACACAAGCACACACACGCAAGCACATACCCATCCCCTGAATGAATTGGGAAAGGGTGATGGTGTTACAACAACAAAGCACAGTCGGACTTGAAAGGCAACCCCTTCCTGGGCCTGCAGACAATCTGAATAGCCTCTCTGGGTGAGGACAGCAGAGGCAAGGGGTTAATGGTTATCAGAAAAGCAGTTGGATGCAATTCAACTGAAATGACCTAAAGTTAAAAGAGCAAAAGTTAATCACCAGCAAAAATCTAAGTCCATTGACCCCAATGGTTCCTCTAGGCCTGGCCAGGGTCCTGGGAGGTCCCTGCCTCGGGTTGACTAACTCCTCAGGGGCTGCAGTAACAGAACATCCACCTCTTCCTGTCCCTGTCTAGCTCTCATGGATGAGACGTGAAAAGGTTCCAAAGGGCCAGGCATGGGAAGCTCCCAGTGGGGTCTTTCAAGGACCATCAGCCCTTGAGCTTAAGGTCCAAGGGGGGATGAGTGGGAATCCTTGTATGATGATTGGGTTGGGAATTTGGGGGCTATTATTACAGTACAGTACTTTACCTTGGTTTTGTTAAGTAGAGGAGGGTGGTCTGGACGAGAGGGGATGCTTGTTTTCTGGGGGGCTTGCCATATTAGTAGTATAAGAAAGTGGAGGGGGAAAGTGAAGGGGGTAGGGACATCAGCTTAGGGCCTTCAAGATGTGAAGCCCAACTTCCTGCCAAAGGGCCCTTGACACCAAAGGTCTGACAAGGTCTTTTAGGCTAGAGTTCAGATTTTGTGCAGGGTCAGGATCAATCCAGATCCCAGAACAAGGTGGCACTTCCTCTTCCTCCTATGGGCCCTTCTACCTTCCCTTTAACCAGTCTGACCACACAGGGCCATTTCTTTGTCCCTACACCAGAAAGAATGTTAATAGGGGTATCATGGGGTCGCCAGCCCGGCACCTCTCTCCTCCTAAAGAGGTGTGGCAGAGGTCCTGGAAGAAAGCTTAGGCCTGTAGACCTTCCCTTCTCACAGCTCTTAACCTTGCCAGTGGAGCCCATAAAGGCTGGGAGCTGGGGGTGAGGCCAGAAGAGTTCAGATAACTTCTTACCAAGCTGCAGGATCATATTCAGCCCAGACACGCACATACTCATCCAGGTGGTGGGGGCCCAAGATGGAAGAGTCTCGGGTGAGATACTCAAAATTGTCCATGATGACAGCCACAAAGAGGTTCAGCATCTGCCATGGGCCAGGTTAGAAGAAGCAGCTTTAAGTGAGAGCCCAGAACAAAAAGACCAAAGTGATACCCTTCTCCCCATCTGTCTTAGAAATTCCCATTTCCCTTACCTTCATCTTGAGCTTCTCCTTTATTTGCATCCTCCTACAGATTTCTTGATAATTCCTACCTACCCCTCCTTGCCCCTATCTCCCCCCTGGCAGAGAAAGGTACCCAAGGATCTCTTCCGCAGAAAATGAGTGGACCCAGCTTTCTAAAGCAGCTCCACATCTCTGAAGGCAAACCTATTCCTCTGGTCATTAGCCTATACCACCTTAGAGTGTTGTCAAGCATGGGGCCTTACATATGGTCATTGATTAATCAATGTTTATGGAATGAATGAGGGATATTCCAGCCACAACGCAGCAGTACAATGACCCTCTTCCCACCCACCCCCATCCCCAGAGAAGGGTGAGGGCCAATGGATCCTCCCCAGACTCACCAGGAAGGAACAGAGGAAGATGAAAGACACAAAATAGAAATAGGCAAACTCGTTTCCACACTCGGGCTCCCTGATGCCTGAGTTCTTATCGCAGGGTTTCCCACTGAGACAGGACAGCATGATGTTATGCCATGCCTCACCTGTGGCACTCCTAGGGACAGAAGGGAAGTCAGACCCTGTTGTATTGAGGGAGCACCGAACACCTGCCCAACCCCTTCCTTGAACTTCAGCCCCTTCCCCTGAGTCACAGGCCTTTCAGCCTTCCCCATGGTTAGGGTGGGAAAGGAGGACAGAGGATTCCTGATGTCACTTTTTGTGTCTCCTCCCAAAATACCGATCTAGTATTCACAACCACAACCTGCGTTTGGCAGGCACAGACCAAAGTGCCAGGTCTCAGCTCAGTTAGGGAGCTAAGGAACCAAAGAATGAAGGAACCCTACTTCAGGCCTGTCTTTTTTCCTCCCCTCTAACAAATAGGTCTGTATCAGGTGACCCGTATCTCTCCTCTGTCCCTCCTGCTTCTTCCCTGGAACCTCCATCTCACCTGAAGAGGAGCATCAGTGCCTGGAAGAAGGTGCGGAAGTTGTTATGCTCCGTGATTTGGAAATCATCATCATCATTGTCTTCTTCTTCCACATCGATGCCAATGTTTCCAAACACCTAAGGGAGGCAAAGCATTCTCAGGGAAGAGAACTCGGTCCTGGTCAGTACTCGGGAGCTTAGATTAGAGCCAGCCCTTGCTCTCACTGGGCTTAAAGACTCAGGTGGGGCAGGGAGGGGATAAGACTTCAATAAACACAGGATAAATGCTTCAGGGAGGTGCAACATGAAATGCGATTCTATATCTCTAAAAAGGACAGGAAAGATGAAATGGAAGATAAGTGATAACATGGGAAATGTAGATATCTGGGAGAATGTCCTGTTGTGATAAACCCACTAAGGAAAACAGCCTATCAAGAAATCAACTAGCAGCAGCTGGTGGTACAGTGGATTGAGGGTGGGGCCTAGAATCAGGAAGTTTTGAGTTCAAATTTCACCTCAGACACTGACTAGCTGTGTGAGCCTGACCTCGGGCAAGTCACTTTGCCTGTGTGCCTCAGTTCCTCACCTGTAAAATGGGGATAAATAACACCACTCACCTCCCAAGGTTGTTGTGAGGCTCCAGTAAGATAATATTTGTAAAAATGCCTGTCTATTGTCTGTTGGTGCTATATAAATGCTTATTTCAGAAATCTTTTCAAAAAGAATGATATTCTAATTTTACGCTTCTCTGATGTGGATGTGATTGTAAGTTAACAGATTATGAAGATTAAGCCAAGAAGCTGCTAGAATTAATGGAAAATTGACCTCAAGCAAGACTTCCTCCAATTTCTTCCCCTGGAACTCAGTTTTTATTTGTCTAAATTAACCCTGTGCTGCTTCTGGCAGAGAGCTGAGCCACTGTGCAACCAACATCATGTAGGGGACGAGGCCCTCTCCTATGGATAAGACAAGCATTCCTGCCACAGCCTTGCGAGGTACAAAGAGGCAGATGACCACTGCGGGGATCAGAGAAGACTTCATGAGGGAGGCAGCATTTGATTTGCGCTTTAAAGGAGGGACAGGAAATTCAGCAAGTAAAGAGTTGGGGGTGGGGAGGGCATTCTAGTCAGAGGGAACAGCCCTTGCAAAGGCATGGAGAGGGTAGATCATAGGGCTGTTCATTGACTAGAGCATACATGATGTGTGTGTGTATGTGAATAAAAATGATATGAGATAAGGTTTGGGTACATCTGACCAAGGGGAAGCCAGCTGCTGCATGAGACTGAAGCTGATGCCTGTGCACTCTATTTTACTAGTCTCCATGACCTTGTAGGTTACTGGCTTATCACTAGGAAGACAACATTTTTTGTTGCTGTTGTTGTTGGGGTTTTCTTGACAAAGATACTGGAGAGGTTTTCAATTTCTTTCCTTCTTTCTTTCTTTCTTTCTTTCTTTCTTTCTTTCTTTCTTTCTTTCTTTCTTTCTTTCTTTCTTTCTTTCATTCTTTCTTTCTTGGCAATGGGGTTGAGCGACTTGCCCAGGGTCACACAGCTAGTAAGTGTTATCTGTCTGAGGCTCCATTCGAACTCAGGTCCTCCTGAATCCAGGGCCGGTGCTCTATCCACTGCACCACCTAGCTGCCTGGTTCGCAATTTCTTTCTCCAGCTCATTTTATAAATGAAGAAACTGAGGCAAATAGGATTAAGTGATTTGCCCAGGGTCACACAACTAGTAAGTGTCTGAGGTCAGATTTGAACTCAGGAAGATGGGTCTTCCTCACTCCAGGCCCAGAGCTATATCCAATGTGCCATCTAGCTACCAGAAAGACAATGTGGTGTAGTGGAAAGGGGACTCGGGCAAACCCCTCTCCCTCTCTAGGTCTCAGATTTCTCATTCATGATGAAGTTGAATTAGATTATTGTGTAGATCCCTTCCAGCCCTGTGATTCCATGACCTTGTGAATCTTTGAACCCATCACCCAATTTCCAAATCTGGCATTTTACTGTCCTTCCTCTGCATAAAGTAAATGGGAAATTCCACTCCCCTAGAAGGGGAGTTTTAAGAGGAGGATAAGAGAGAAAAGGATACCCCACTTCAGGATCAACTGAGGTTCTTGCAGAGAGAATTACTCACAACTCACCTGCATCCCTATGATGGCATAGATGAAGAAAAGCATGGCGATTAGAAGGCAGACATAGGGGAGAGCCTAAAGAGAAGTCAGGTGAAGACTTTTAGTTTTCTTCCCCCCGTAACAACCCACACCTTCCTGACTGAGAACTACATCTTCCCACATCCTCCCTTCTGGACTGATCCTCTAGTCCATCTCTTCTTAAACTGTGGGTCGAGATGCCATGTACCCACAGTTGAAAAAGTGCTGAAGGGTTGCAAGTGGGAACAGTTAAGAAGCCCTGCAGTCTTCTCTAAATGAATGATCTAAATCTGTACTTTGATTAGACCAAATGTCTCTAGGTTTGGACAGTGCAGATTAGGATCTGGTAGAAAGTGAAGAAGCAACAGAGGAGAGCCTAGGTTTGGACTTTGGAAAGGCATCCTTGGCTGAATTAACCCAGTATCACTGTCAGTGCTCCTAATGGGTGCCTTCAGAAAGTAATGCTGGAGCTTTGCTAAAGACCTAGCCTCATAGTTGGTATTTTCCCATCATTACTTCTAACTCTATCACAGGAGTAACTGATACCTGCCAGACCTGGGGGCAACCCCTCCCTTTATCCTCGCAATCCCTTACCTTGAAGGACTGTACGAAGGTCCAGAGGAGGATGCGAATGGTATAACCCTGGCGAAGTAGCTTGATGAGGCGGGCAGCCCGGAAGAGGCGGAGGAAGCTGAGGTTGATAAAGTTGTTCTGGGAAGATGGAGAGAAGGCATGACCATCTGCCCGCACAAATAGGCCCCCAAAGCCACTCAACATCTATGTCAATCTGGACAATGCCAGATCCCAAAACCAAGTAGAGAAAGCAATCTAAACCCCAACCAAAGAGGGAAAGGAAAGAAAGGAAGAACCAACACAATGTCACTGAGGAAAAGCTGGAGAGGAAGGGGAAAAGCAAGAGAGAAAGGAGGTAGGAAAAAAAACCAACTCAAAATGGAAGCTACTTGCTAATACCCTCCCACCTGCCTCAACCCTGCAACCCATAAAAGAAGGAAAGAAAAAGGAAAGAAAAGGAAGAGAAGAAAAGGAAAAGAAACAAAACTATTTGGATCATCCAATCAGGAAAAAAATTATTATGGTTTTGTTTATCCCAACAACCAAATGCACTGAGACACTAGGACACAAGCAGGTAACGTCGCCGAGTCTCGTCACACATGTACGATGCACAGACATCAAAGAGAGGGAAGCCGGCAAGCTCAGGCCTGGTGGGCTTGTGCGTGTTACATGTGCATGTTACGATCCGGGCCAGAAATGCATCAGTCACACGGACTCAACAGGTGCACTGCACGGCACAGCACTCTGCGGCGTGGCGCTGCCCACCCCGCTCTGGCCCGCCCTGACCTCACCCCCAGACGATCAGCCAAGGGCTGAGAGCAGCAGCGCTCGAGCCAATCGGGAGAAGCAGAATAGGATCTTTTCTTACCCCCTTGGCGAGCGGGGATGGGGAGGACAGAAGGGAGCCGGGGCTGTTCGGCTGCAGGGTGAGTCCTCGCTGCCCGGTGAGTCCGTGAAGATGCATTTTTGGCCCTTTTCCCCCCTCTCTGGGATGGCTTCACAGCTTCTGGGATTGGGTGGAGCAGCGTGGGACCAAGCCTGCAGTAAGCGATGGAGCTCCCATGGGTGTTGTGAGCTTGGAAATGTCCCAGGCTGACAGAGGGGGTGGGTGCTGGGAGCAGGGAGTCTGAGCCATTCCTGCCACCAGCACCTCCCCTGTCAGGCCCCTCCCTGCCTTGCAGTCACAGACCTTACTTGAGGGCCCTGCTCCCTAGCTGCCACCACCACCTCTTGCTGCTGCCTCCTCCTCCTCCTCCTTTTCCTCCTCCTCCTCCTCCTCCCCACCCAAGCCAAAACCCAGGCACCAGAGAAACACTTTGATTGGTAAGGACCAGATAGGAACAGGATGGGATCTGGTAGGAGAGCTCTGGTGCACCAGTTCAGTGATGCAAGAGAAGCTGTGTCCTTAGGGAATAAACAATTTCCTGGGCCAAGCTGGGGCCTTGGGGACCCTTGTGGCAGGAGTGGAGATGTATGGGGAAGGATGATTATCCTAGTATTCCCTCATTCCCCACCCAAGGCAGGTACCATAAGCTGCATTTCTTTCCGGTAGTCTATCTGGCTTCACTGCAGCTGGCTAGCCATTGAGGAAGAGAAGGAGGGAAAAGAGATAAGGAAGCAACTGCTTCCTTACTTGGCTGACAAGAGTGAGTTCAGCCCCCAAATTCATATGGGAATGTGTTGTTAGGGGTATGTGGGTGCAAGCAGGTGTAAGGGAGGCAGGCACTATGGGTTTTTGGGGGCATGGGCTGGGGCAAAAGCAAGGACAAAACGTGGGAAGTATGCCTCAGAGATAACTGGAGTAAATAGTCTTTCTGCTCTATTCTTGGAGATGGGCCTGAGGAGGGTGGGATTCAGGGAAGGGGAGGTGGAGAAGAGCCACCAGGGCCGATTGAGGGCAGAAGTAGGTGCCATATGGTGCTAGGCTAGCCTTGGAAATAGAACATGAAAGTCCTGGCCTTCACTGCTTTAGCAATCCACTCAGCTTATGTGGGGGAGGGCCATTTAAAGCCTGTTAAAGGACCCTACTTTTAGTCCCCACTGAACTGGCACAGACCCTGCATCACCCCCAGGGAGCAATCTATTTGTGAGGCTGAGTCTTGGGAACTTCGTAGGCTAGCTCCAAGCAGCGCCCTTAAATCTTCTCCAGCCCTCCATGTGCCTTTCAGAGGTCTTTAGCTCCAAGACACACTCATCAGGGGGACAGCGAAGGAGCATCAGCTTCAACACCCTTGCTCCCTGACAGTGTCTACAAGCAGGACTTAGCCTTTAGGGAGCCATTATGGTGCCTGCTAGATTCCTGCT